CCCAAGCGGAAGATAAGCTGAGCGATCTTGGATAAACAATAAAGAGAATCAGAAGTCACCAGGGCTTGCAAACAGCTACAGCTGACTTGTAGGGGATTCACCTCGGCTGTGGAGAATAGCCAGCATTAGAAATCAAAGACACTAGTCTAAACCTCCAATCTCCCACCACCCAGAGTTTATATATAAGCCAATGGGACCTTTGGGGCTGAGGCCTTTCCCTGGCTCGGTGGACCTTGCTCTTATCCCCTTTTCTTCCGTATCTGCACTGGCTTTTTCTGAACCTCTAAGTCTGCTTCCAGCCATCTCATACTGCCTACACCCCGATCCTTCCTTCTCCATCTCCCCCCCAGGCCATTTCCCACTCTCTGAGCTCCCAGTTACTGAGTCCTTCAGTTGTCACCTCCGTTACCTCCGACCTCAGTGGTCTCCCAATTATTTATCTCCTCACTTGTCTGTCCCATTGTCCCCTCTGTCATTCCCATGGTTGTCTCCCCATCCTGTCACCTCTCTCCTCTCGATGACCGATTGAACAGAAAAGCTGCCGCCTCCTTGCAACTGCTGCTCCGGACGGACACTTTCTCATGACGTGGCGCTGGGAGATTACGTCATTCTTCGGCGCCGGGACACGCTCCTCCCGGGCCCTTAATGGGCGTGGCCCTGACCCAAGGTGGAAGACTCTGAAGAGGCGCAAGAGGGTGCTTGACCGCAATTCGTGCTCCCGGAATCCGGGAGGGAAGTGCGCTCACGTGACCGAGGGGTGGGCGCCTGGCTGGAAGGCAAGTGGTGGGGAAGGCGGGGCCGAGGCCCCCTAGGGGAGTGGAGGTCATTAAACCCGAGGATTGGAAAGCCTCAAGCGGGCTATGCTGCAGGGCAGGAATTCAGGGATAACGTCAAAAACGGAAGGGCGTTTCAGCTGCTGGTGGCGTTTTACGTCTGCTGTGAATGGCCTAAGGCAGCATCCTGCTCTTGGGAAGGCCGCAGACCTGGGCTTTCGCGCCCTTGTACAGGTCTTAGTGCATTTAATATTTTGGTAAGTTCCTAGCCCTAGTCAATCGCATAAAGCACTTGATAGCAACCCATTTGTGCTTTATGTAAGGCAGTGAGATTTCAGGATTTGCAGATTTTCAGGACCTACCCAAAGGAAAACCTTTGAAGCTAGAAAGAGCTCTACTCCAAGAATGACTTCTAATATTAAATAACAGGCAGGCCATCAACTTACCCTGGTAAGGGCATTAGCTCCTTACCAAACCTTGGCAGAAAACTGTTACAGGAGTTTGAAGCACTAACAAATTTGAGTTTCAGCCCTGGTTGGTGTGGTTTAGTGGGTTGTGTGCCAGCTTGTGAACCAGTCATTGGTTTCATTCTGAGTCTAGGGCACATGCCTGGGTTGCGGGCCAGGTCCCTAGTAGGGGGCGCAGGAGAGGCAACAACACATTGATGTTTCTCTCCCTCTCTTCCCCTCTAAAAAATAAAATCTTTAATGGGGCAAGAAGAATGATACCCAAAAACTTAAAAATAATTTGGAGTTCAATTTCCTCAAAATTTAGAAAACAGCAAAAAGAAACCTTTGCAATTTTCAAAGAACCTTGGTCTGACCGAGGAAAGAGATACTGTACTAGTAACCCCCAGTTCAGTCATCCACTCGTTCTGATGAAAGGAGTACTTTTACCAGGCATTTTCAATGCCCTGGCAGTGAATAACCTACCCACGAAGTCCTTTCCATCCTTCCTGCTTTGCATCTGGGAAGCAAGCTTCAGCCTAGCTGGCTTCCATGGTCAGCTTGAAGACATTTGGTACAAAGTCCCTGGAGTGAATGTATGAAACTTCTTACCCTTGTCCTGCTAATGCTTCTGTGCACTTTCTGTAATAGATGGTATACCTCTAAGCAAGTTTTTCTTTTAAAATTCTCCTTCCTTTAGGGGGAAAGCTAGACGTTTAAAATCCAATGTTTATTAGTGGGCTAGCTAATAAATGTTTTTATAGAGTATTTCCTGTGGCCTCAATTCCCCCAGTTCTACATATTTGCCTCCCTGGGATGCTGCAGGGGGTTAATTAAGATTTGTATAGGGATTGGAAGAGCAGAAGACAAAGTATTATAAGGGTCTCAACCCCCAAGGCATGGCCCCATCCTTTCATCCCAGCCAGTGGCACAGGCAAACCTATTCTTATGCATGCCAAACTCCTAATCCCCTCTTGAATGTGGCAGTTTGCAAGGAAAGTACAAGAGGCCTTAACTAGAAACAAAAATCCACGGTAATGAGGTGCTAAGAGGACTCACTTTCAAGATTGGTTCCCAACAAAATAGCTGAACAGAAAACTTAATGGTTCTTCTGTGACTTCTGAGTCAAAGCACCCTGAATTTCTAACAAGAAGATGACAGTTTCAGTATGAATAAGCCTTTATTCTTTCATTTTATTTTCCCAGGGAAATGAGGAGAAGGAAAGAGTCAGCATGTGTTTTACAAAATGATATATAGCAAGTGGAAGTACCCAGCACAGCAAAACCAATCATCAAATAAACAGCCCCCAGTAATGGAGGTCACCAAAGCCCAAGGGGACTCAGTCTCCTGTAGTTCAGAAATAAGAAGGAATCAGGGAAAGAACAGACAGGTACATGCTTTCCTACCCTCCCTCCCTCCCGCCCCATAAATTCAAAATTTCACACAAAGCTTTGGTTTCTAGCAGTAAACATGAGTTACATTCGTCCGTCTCCTATTAAACAATCTTGTGGCTACTTTGACATAAGTTTTTTGCACCTGCATAAAAGTTCCTGAGTGACTTGGATATACATTCATCTTCCCTTTCTTGGTCTCTCAACCCCACTTTCAAAATGCAAGGCCCCCTCATTGCTTCTCTGCCCTAGGATTAGAGATTAAAACACAGCAATCTAAGTGTTTGGCATGAATCAAATATCAAGGAATGGTCTGGACTCAGGGTATTGGGGAAAAAGGGATGGAATATTTTTAGCTTCTTCACATAGGGTGATACCCCACACATTTAGTGTGTATGTGTGTGAGTATGTGCACTTTTGTGGCGGGGTGAGGATAAAAGAGGAGACAGGGTAGGAGTCAAGTTTTTAGGACAGAATATGTGGTCCAAAATAGAAAATAGAGGAAAAGGAAACAAAAGAAAGGATGATTCAAGACCCCCACTTCAAGAGGGGTTTCAGATCCTTTTTGCCTGGTGCAGAACCTTTTGTCAAAGATGCTTTGGCTATTTTTCTCAATATGAAAAGAAGTTTGTAAACAATAAAGCCCCAAAAGAATATGGAGAAAGACCAACACATTTACACAAACTAGGCCACCTAGCAATCACCAAATCAGCTACTGTGAAGTCCCACAAAGCCCAGACAAATACAATAACAAGAGGGGGCAGCAACTGGGGGAGACAAGAACCCAGGATCAGACACACATAACCCAATGCATTCTATTGCATTTGCCCCGTTTCAACACAGTGAGGTAGGGTTTTGGTGATCTCACAGTATGTAAATGAAACCTGCTTTTCTCCTTTAGGTACTATGACACTAGTCACTGCTGCAGCAGGGCAGGACACTGGCTCTGGGCATCACAAAGAAGCCATCACTTATGGTCTCTCTGGAGGCCAAGAGGAAAAGCAAAGAATTTTTAAAGGTTGAAAAATTTAGTTGTTGCTTCAAATATCCATCCCCGGACAGCTTAAAGTGGGTAGAGAGGTATTGTTTTTAAAACCTATCTTTATTAACTCATTTTTTTGTTTTTAAGACACACACAGACACACACACAAACACCCCTTGTTGTGCATGGTAAGCCTAGCCCAATCTAGTGAGGTATGCATCTGGTATGTAATGTGAATCCCAAACCCTGGAATTAGAGGTCTGGAACAGGAATCCTTGGTTACACACATATAGACAACCTCACCTAATCTTGGCTTCCCCTCTGTGCCTTTCACCTAGCCCCTTCTCTCCTAACCTCTGTGCCAACCACTTATTCCTGTTCAGACCGTCTGCAATCTTCTGGTAGAAGGGGATTAAGTAATGGGGCCACCCAGTTAAAATCTAGTCTTCCACAAAACATTGAAGATGGAGGGGTTTCAAGAGGACACTATGGCAGAAAACCCAGCTCTAACTGGCAAAAAGGAGGTAGTTCAATAGGCTATACACTCCAAATAGTTGTTCTCCCTGATGATAAAACAACAAAAAGTATTCCTGCTGTGCAGACCCGGAGCTGCTGCCCACTTATCCCTGAGATTGCTCATGTACCTGAGAACACAGTGCAGGAACGAGGGCCTTAGATTAAAATACACAAAAATACAAAACCAGCATATTTATATTACGAAAAAAAAAAAAAAAGTTAAAATGCACAAGATACGTCGTTCGCACACAGCTAGTGCAGTTGGCATCCTGGAGAAAGTGGAACCCAAGGTGCAGTTATCCAAGGGACCAAATAAAATTGTATTGGCCCAGAAATGGGGTGGGAGGCAGCTTAGGAGCAGTGGGTCTGCAGCTGTTCCCCAACCATCCCTTTTGCCTATAGTCACAACCCATTGCTTGGGGCAATTTTCAGCACCCTCTCCCAAGAGTGCGGGATAAGGAAAAACCCTGCTGTACCCCTGAGAGATTCCCTCCCACAGAATGTAATCATTTGTGGGCTGGGTTCATCAATCTGGTCTCATAGTAATCTTTTCACTCTGGCAGGGGAAATATCATTACATATCCTTCTTTAAAAAGAAAACAACTCCCTATCCAGGTCACTTTCAGAAGCTGGAGACTCAATAAAGCCAGCACAGAGGTATTTTCCCCAAAGCCCTCACATGCATTGGATAGAGTGTGGTTGGGTTCCTTTGCCTCCCCGCTCCCCCTGACTGAGAAGGAAGAGGGGGTGAGTCTGTGGAACCCAGCCTGAGATACATGGCAGTGCCAGCTGCCCCTTACCCACCCTGTCCCCACTTTCTCCATTCTGCCGATTGATGCCTGCTCCTTGAAACTTCCTGATCACAAAAGGACAGCCTCCGACACACTGTAGCTCAATTCTGGGCATCTGGGAGCAGGGCAGGGCTATGGATCTCTTCCTCTTCATCCCGAAAGTAGGCTGGCTTTCCCTGTGAGCTGGGGGCCTGCTGGGCCTTCAATGGACATGAGGCCACCATATGGCTGATGCTTTGGCAGAAGTGGCACTTCTTGGGCTGGGGTGGCAGCTTGCATTCCTTGGCATGATGGTCTAGACCTCCACAGTTGTAGCACCTGGTACAAAGCAGGATGTAAAATTGAAAAAGGAATGAGAAGAGATCAGAAACCTTTTTTTCTGAGGATATTCAGGCTCTTTCCTTCCTGGAGACCAATTTTCCCACTTATAAAAGGAGACATGTGACTAGGTATCTTGAAGTCTTTTCCAAACCTGAATCTAGGTTTGGATCTTCAGATTCACATCACCTTGAAAACACTGAAATACCAAGAATAGAAACCATGGATCCCAAGTGAGCACTATGATTTGGGGGGGGGGGGGGTAGGTAAAACTCTACCATACCCTTAAAGATACTGTACCTGCCCTGGCTGGTGTGGCTCAAAGGATTAAACACCGGCCTGTGAACTAAAAGGTCACTGGTTCAGTTCCCAGTCAGAGCACACGCCTGGGTTTCAGGCCAGGCCCTGGGATGGGGGCGTGGGAGGGACAACCAATCAATGTCTCTCTCACACATTGGTGTTTCTCTCCCTCTTTCTTTCTCCCTTACCCTCTCTTTAAAAATAAAATAAAATTAAAATAAAATTAAAATAAAATAAAATTAAAATAAAATAAAATAAATAAAATAAAATATTAAAAAGACTGTATCTGCCTTTCATTAACAACATAGAAGAAATTAAAGGAGTCAGATTATACGTCTGTTTGAGCACAGAGCTACGATGAATGAAATCAGCCATTTGAAGACCTGGCGAAGGAGCAACAAGTACAGACACACCATTTCACAGCCAGTCTCCTTCGTTCTGAAGTAATCACGTGAGGTTAGTATCACTATTCCCACTTAGCAAGTGAGGCTACAGCTCACAGAGAAAAACTGTGTGTCAAGTACCCTCCTAATACACTACCTTCTCCTTGTCTCCCACATCTATGGGAGGTACCCTCACCATCCAGATGTTACCAGGGACCTTAGGCTTCATTTTATCTTTGGCAACCTGGTCCAAGAAATGAGGCAAGAAGATTGAGAGAACTCTCCCCATCCTCAGCATGTACCTACCAATCCACATAAGCCACCTTCCAATCCATACCTGTCTCCTTTTGATCTGCGCTTCTGCATGTTCTTCCCTTTTGGCCGCCTCTCACTTCCAATGCAGAAGACCCCACCGGGGCCAGTGACTCGAATAGACTCCAGGCCCTTGGCGGACTTCTTAAAGGTGAACTCTACTGCCTCGCCCTCCTTCAGGCTCCGGAAGCCCTCCATGTGCAGCTTACTCTGGGGAAGGGAAACACGGTAGATTTTACTGCTAGCATCCATCACTACACATCAAGTCCCCCCAACAAAAACCTGCACACATGTATTCTTGTAATGCAGGAATAACAAGTGTAATAACACTCCCATTTTATCAGTAAAGAAAAGGAGTCACCACAGTTAAGAACAAGAAATTTACATTATATTGACAAAGAACAATCATGTTATAACAGGTGCCATGACATTTTTTATAAAGCTAATCTCGTTTAAAGTTCCAAGTAAAATGGAAGAAAAAATTTTAAACATAGAATTTAAGGAAAAGACAGAATGACCCAAGCAGATGCATATATAAGGGCAAGTCCACTAGGAGAATCAAGCATATGAGGGGAAATCAATAGGTGACAAAAACAATTCAATAAATACCGTTGAGAACATTCACTGTATATTGGGAAATGAAGCCAGAATTCTACACTTTGTATCCTATGCATATAAAATATATTCCAGAACTTAAAATATGTATATGCTAAAAAGACTAAAACTATAAAATCAAGACAGATAATTAGACTGATAAAACTACAAAAAGCTACTATAAATTTAAAAAAAGAGAGAATCATAAAACAGAGTATAACTAGGTAATTTGCAGGACAGCACAATAATGTCATTGGTCGACAGCCCAGTCTACCTTGCTACTTACTGCTTCACAACACCTGGTTGGGGGCGACAGTCCCTCCCAGACCCTACCATGAAGCTGGTTAAAAGAATGTCACATCCCCGTTTTTGTCCACCGCTGCATTTTGCACCTAAATAATGCCTCACACATTTTTGGATTAATGAATAAGGAGTAGATTTTAATTACTTGACTTAGAAAAATGACCAAATATATTTAAAGGGAAAAAAAGATTTAGAATAATGTATGGAGCAACCCTAAAATACTACATATTTGTACCCAAGTTTAAAAACTTTGCAGGGAGCACTGGAGATCTTGCTTCCTGGCATATGTCATTAGTTTGGCTCAAATAAGCTCATAAAAATTCTCTAAAAAAAAAAAAAACCAAAAACCTGACACTTGCAAAGAAGAGCCTAGCAGCCTTCAGATAAACAGTTATTCACACAGCTAGTCAAGTGGCAAAGCCGGTGTCAAAAGAACCCAGGATTCCTGATTTGAAGCTCACAGCCCACTCCACCTTGCCCCTTACCGCTTAACATCACCTTACTAGAAGTGACAGCCCCTCCTATACCCTAACTCAGGATAGACTTCATTACAGCTTCCTTGATTACTTGGACAAATGTCAACAAGGTGTGGTCACCATAGAAAGTGGGGTTCAGAGAAGCAAGGGTCCTGGGGGCTGAAGGGAACATGAGGAAGTAGCATGAGTATTTTATAACTGGTGTTGGCGGAGGGGAGGGACGGGACACTATTTCAAACTGGGTGTTAGATGAAATGTGCTCTTTAGCCACATGGGGTCCCCAATTCATCAATCACATTTTTGTTTTAACCTAAATGGTGTTGCTTAAGACAATATTTCCACTGAGATAATTCATTAAGAGCACAGGCTCAGGTGCCAGATACATCCTGGGTCATGAAATGCTGGTTCTACCAATATCTGGCAGAGTAACCATGGTCAACCATTCACCTTTGGGCCTCAGATCCTTCAGAGGCAAGGGCTAACTACCAGCAGGGTATCTACATAAGGCTCCACTGCAGAAAGAAAGGTGCCAGCCCCCTTTCCCATCACACAGTAACGATCCTGAATTTGAAGTCAGATGTGATTTGTCTCTTGTTGAGCTGGACAAGCCATGAAATCAGGAGGTACTGGAGGAGTTGAATCACGACCCAGACAATAGCAGCTTCTCCTGTTTTCCTAGTGGGCTCATAGGCTGGGACACCCCCAGGTCTAGCTATAATTCAGCAGATGAGTGATTAAGAACAAGTCTGGAGACTTAGAAAGGAGGCCTGTTCCCTCCTTTCTAACCAACAAAATGGAAGTAAATACTAACTTTATGGTGGTACTGTGAGGTTTTAAGCATGAAAAAGTAATTAACACATCACCCGCCACACATAAATCCCCACTGAGTGGCAATTATCATCAACCTCTTCAAACTGGATCAAGGTAGAGAAGCAGAGGGAACCAAGTGTCAAGAGACTGGGAATTTTAACTCTGGTTTTTATCACTAATTAGCAGTGGAAACTCAGAAAACTATTCCCTCTTTGAGCTCCAATTTACTGAGGAAACACTCTCCTTATCTACATCTTATAGACTTACTGTAAGACCAAGAGGATAATATAAATGGGGCCAATATGAAACTGACTAGTCCTCTCAGGCCACCCACTCCATCATTGGAGGATTTGAGGTCTGTTTAAGACGTTCAAATAGTTAAAAAAACAACTGCAGCCATCTCACCATAACAGGTCAAGATTTAGACTGGATGTCTCTAGGGGTGGCTCCCTGCCCCCTGCTTGGCCCCTTCCTAAAACACATACTTTGAATTCCTCTCTTATCAGATAGGTAATCAGCATGCAGCCCCACTGAGCCAGGCTCACAGGGCCCAAATCAGAAAGGAGCCAGAAATTCTTGTTACAACCCCCACCCCACCCCACCCCCAACCACACACAAAGCAGGGCCCGCCCCTCTCCCCATCCCCTCCAAAAAAAGAAAAGGCTTGGGGCGGGGAGGGGCAAGGCTTGAGTTCCCCCAATAGAGCCCAGCCCCTGGAAACAAAGAGTTGACACTGGTTGGTTCTGGTGGTCAGATTCCTGGAGTTCCAGAGGCTGAGATTACACACACACACACACACACACACACACACACACTCACTCACTCACTCACTCACTCACCATTCATTGGTTCCTTCCTTCCTCTTCTCCTTGAGGTTATGGTTCCCGTGTGAGAAATGGAGACAGAGACACCTTTCTTCCCTAGTTAAGCATGGTGGGTCTGCCAGAGTCACCACCAGCAGCAGCCATCTTTCCTTCTCTCTGACCTGCCGCCCCTCGCTTCCAGGGCTGGAACTAAACAGGATCTGATCCCCTCCCCTCCAGTGCCTTCAGTCAAATCCTTTACACAGGAACATGAATTAGGGTTACTTACTCAGAAAAATTATTTTACGTATTTTTATTTTTATTTTGAGAGAGAGAGAGAAACATGGATTGATAGCCTCTCACGTGTCTCCAACTGGGGACCTGGCCTACAACCCAAGCATGGGCCCTGACTGGGAATCAAGCCAGCAACCTTTCAGTTCACAGGCTAGCGCTCAAACCACTGAGCAACACCAACCAGGGCTCAGGCTCCGATAAATTATTTTATAGGTGATGTAGGAGGCAGGTCTCCATTCTTCCTTTCCTAATGTGTTTAAGAAAGGAGGGCAAGCAGGCTACAGGGCAGCCCACTGCTCAGGGGAAGGTAGCATTTAATCAGACAGAAAAGTTTCAAAAGGCCTTTTTGGGGGATGGCAGGTAATGACTCGGGCCAGTTATGCCTTCTGCTCCCTTCATACCTCACCACTGCCTTCCGCAACCTTTCCCCACGTCAAGCATCCCCATCCCAGCACCAACCTATGCCCTTTAAGTTTAAAGAATGAAGAGACCAGACCTTAGGGGTCACTCAGGGAGTGTGAAGTAAAAAAGCTCACAGGAATTTGAGATTCCTTCATCCTGCTCAATGGAGGCTGGATAGCTTTGGTTCTTTAATCATCTGTAAAAGCAGGGATCAGACTTAGAGCCCTACCAGCTCTGACATATCTCTCCTCTGTGCTCCTCCCCACCTTTATCATATCGTTCTTTTCTACCTAAGGGGCAGAGTCAGGATTTCAGAACACTTACTCGTCTTGCCCACAGGAATCAAAGCTGGTGTTCCCAGCTTTTCTGTAACACCCACGGCCATTCCATCTCAAGACTACCTAGGGGCCCAGTATTGCACACAATTTGTGGAACAAACTATAGCCTGACTCTATAGCCAGCACTATGCAATGTAATGCCAATCACACAGACATTTTAAAACTTTCTAATAGCCACATTTAAAAAGTAAAAAGCAGGTAAAACTAATTTGAATGACTCAGTCCTGAAGTGTCCCATGTTCGGATCTGAGCTTCATTCCTGAAAGTAGAGGTTTGGTGGGGCTGGGACAAACCAGCCAGTTTTCCCAGAAGCAGTTTATTTGATAGTTTATTTGTTAGGGAGGGTGGGGAAAGAGATCTGTGCAGAACCACCTCCGTATCACCTCTGCTCAGACAGAGCCAGGACCACCAGCTCCTGCCTGGAGTCCTCCACCAGATGGTGCTGCTCATCAGCCCACTGGCACTAGGCTGCCAGCCGGCAGAAGGAAGGAGCTGCCTGTAAAGACAAGTGTTCACCTAGACTTCTCTCCCCAGCGACTTGGGGCAGACATCTCTTCTGTCCTCAGGCAGATGGAGTTTCAAGGGGACTGAACTCTGATGAGGGAGAGTCCCCTGGAAGGATGGGACGCTTACTCCTCACCTTGCCCCATCCTCCCACTCAGGGTACAAAAGAGGATCCTGGAGTTTTAAGCCAGTAACGCTGTGCTTACGCAATTTATAAAAGCCATTTATTTGGATTTCGGTTTCCTGTCTAAATTAAATGAACCCCAAACTGAGATAATTTAAACTTAATCTGTACTAATTGTGTACTATTCTTTCAAGTTTTCTCTTCCTCCTCCCTCACCTTCTTTGACCTCCCAGACTTAACGCTTAATAATTAGGCAATTACTATTCATACCCACGGAAGGGGGGGTAGATGTTTGCCTGGGGTAGTTTTCCCTTCCACCACAACCTAAAATTGAAAACAACCCATGGAATTACAGAAGGATGATGTTCTAGTTTGATTAGGAATGTTCCAGAAACCACACGCCCTGGGAGACACTGAAAACCACTTACAGGGCAAGTAGTAGTGTCACCAAATGCAAGTTATTAGTTTCTCATAGTGGAAGCTTTGCTCAGGATGGTGGTACAGCCCTTATTTGGGTCCTTTTCTAGAAACCACGTCTCCTCAGAAACAAAAGGACCCAAGAAGACACCTTAATGCTCAAATTAACCCAGGCACTTCTCTACCAACTTCCTTGAAAGTCAGTGATTCACTCATTTTTTAAAATATGCTTTATCCTATTAAGACGGAAATGAAGTAACCAATGACTGCCAATCCCATGGCTTCCAATCAATCCGTCCAGAAAGAGAGCAGCTATCAGTTACCATTCTCTCCCCATCTCCAGTCTTTCATTCTGAAGGAAGACCTGTACTAACAAGGACTCCAAACTGTTCGTGTGCTCCTGATTCTCCGAGGAGCCCCTTGCTTCTTCACATTCATTGCTTCAGCCTACCAACTGGGAACCAGAAAACTAACCCTGCAGCTAGTCCTTCCCTCTGAAGAGCTTACAGATTAGTTAGGGGAGGGGATAAGACTAAGTACATCACTGACTGGAGACGTGAGGTGAGCAGTCAGAGGTACCACTAATGCTATAACCCAGGTGAAAGATCTCTTTACACACACCACCCCCAGCCCCACGAGTCCTAGCCTAGACCCTGCCTGAGGCTGCACTTATCTGCAGGAAAAGCCGGTTTGAGCAGGTTCCAACAGTTTATCAGTATTAAAAACTTCTTCTAACCCAAACTCGATGGGGCTCTTCTTTTTCCTCCAAGCCTTCTAATACAGTCTTTCAGCCAGAAAGCTGTTTTTAAAATATTTGGGTTCTGATTAGTGGCAGGAGAAAGCAGGGCACCTTTTCTCATTTTTAATTTTGGGGGGTTTGGGAGTTAAGCCACAGGAAACATATTAAGCTAAAACGCTTCTCCAAAGGCCATGGAGATGTCAGAATCTCAGGAAATTGAGACTGTAGTTTTCTTGCTCCAGCTTTCCCTGTATACCTGTATTTCTCAACTGGGGGTGATTTTGCCTCTGAGGGGCATTTGATAATGTCTGGAGACATTTTTTTGTTGTCACAACTGAAGGATGCTCATAAAGAGGAATTATCCTGCTCAAATTACATCCTTAGTGGTTGAGAAACCTGGACTTAAGGGCTGGCCATCTGCCATTATTATGATTTTTAAATTCCTCTAACCCTAGGGACAGGCTAAGAGTTCTAGATCCAAAGACCTGTAGCTGAATAAAAGAAAAGAACTGTTAATCTCTTTGCTTTATTTTTTTTTAAAGGCTAAGGGTTTGTTGCATTTCCTACTCATTCAGACCCTGGGGGCATAAAGTGAGAGGGAGCGAAAGAACAGTAATGAACAGTGTTAAGCACCAAGTAGGCCCACCTAGGAAGGGAAAAGAAAATGTTAAATTGCTTTCCCCCCTTCCTCTCTCCTTAGAAGGGGCTCCCAGATCACCTCTCCTGAACTCTAACTCCAAGGTGCCCACCACCAGCAGTCAAAGAAGGGGAGATATCTTCTTAAAGAGAAATGTCTTACCCTCGCCCTCCACTTTGGGAACACTTTCCTCTCCCAGGACAATTTTTAAGGATCACCCTGAATCTACTTAATTCCTCTACATGAGAGTTCCAGAGAAATATTTCTCAAGTGCAGGGACTGGATCACTAGTCTAACTTACTGCTGTGGTAGGGTTTGAGGATTAATTCAAGCCCAGGCAGCGTGTTATCAAGACCTAATGCCCTGACCAGTGTGGCTCAGTTGGTTGGGCATCGTTCTGCAAAGCGAAAGGTAGCTGGCTTGCTTGCCCATCAGAGCACATTCCTGGGTTGTGGGTTTGGGTCTTGGTTGAGTTGCTGATGGATGTTTCTCTTCTTCTTTCTCCCTCACTTCCCCTTTCTCTAAAAATAAATAAATTAAAAAAAAAACTTTGGTGGGGGCGGGGGATGCTATCAAGTAAGGCTTAGTCACTGACTGTCCTGTGACTGTTTAGTCATAACAAATTTTAGATTCCTTCTCCCAGCTCAACTCCCTCTTGATAACTTATTCAACGGTGGAATGTTCCTGGAAATTCCAAGACTCTGAGGTCAATATTACCTCCTAACTAACCCATCTGAAACTGATGGTGTGGGCTTCACCCCCCACACCTGAAAGTTCCTGCTTTTCTCTCTGCCATCCAATATTTCCAATTGCTTTTGATCCTAAGGTTAAGTGCCCTGAGGCACAGATCTGCTTGCTCAGGGAAACCTTCCCCTGCACCTGGTTGTCCTGTGGGAGTTCAGAACTCGTCACACCAAGATGTGCCTCTGTGATATGTGGATTTTTCCAAGGAAAAGCTGCAGGATTAAGAAAGACTTCTTCTGCCCTTCCCTTACCTACCTATAAGAAGTTGAATTAGGGGCCTTGTCCATAGTAAGAATTTATCAGAAATAACCTCTTCTAACCAGTCTATAGGGTAGGGCAGGCCAAACTTCTTTTACTTCTTATGGTCCTACAGTAACCCTTCAAAGCCCCCAAGGCATCTTACCTCATCCCTAGCTCAGAATGTCTACAGGGGAACGCCCAGGTTTCCTTTGTATCTTCAAATCTCTTGTGCATGTGGAGTTCCTGACTCTCATATATGCAGGGTTCCTATACATGAGTATTAAATTTGGTTACTCTCTTGCTAATCTGTCTAATGCCTACTTGATTAGACCAGCCAAAAGAACCTTGAGGGTAGAGGAAAGTGTCTTCCTCCCCCACATCACCAAGGATCCCAAGATGATGAGGGGGTTACACCCCCCTATTCAGCAGCCTTAGGAATGAAGGCAAGGAAATGTTGATTCTGACCCTTATCCAAAGCCTCCCAAAGTTGGGGTAGTTGTCTAGTCCCTCTCCAGACCCAGAAGGGTTTTAATCTCTTTGTGATCAGATAAGTGGTAGAGTGGGGAACTGGCTACCTTGTGGAGGAGGGCCATTCAAAGCTGGTTCCTGTAATAAAGTGATCTAAAGAGGCTAATTTCCTTGTTTCTCCCACAATGACTTCCTGTGGATTATCATTCACATATGTAAATGAGACAGGGAAGGGGCAACGTCACTAACTAGAACTACCCGTAGTTGTCCGATACAGGTAAGAACCCGTGCTACAAGAGCGTAGGTAAGCGTCCCGCCGCAGACCCTCCTTGCCGATGTTCAAGCAGCCCAGTGACCCCAAGTCACCAACATTAACTGGCAGACCCCCATCTCTTTGGGTCCCCAATCTCCATTGTTGCCCCTCCCACACTTTACTTCCTCTAAGAGCCTTCAACCAGTCCACCCAGCATCTCCCTTCTCCACCCCTCCCCCTCCAGAACACCATCCCTCAGGCTCCAACTCTTAATCCCCACATCCTCCTTTCCCCTCCCCCATGGCTCTAAAGCCAACCTCCCCAAAGTAACCCCTCCCTGCCCGGCCTGGGTGCCCACCTCCTTGGCCTGGGATTAGTAGTTTCTTCTCACACCCAGCCCCAAACCTCCATAAAGGTGGAAGGGACACAAGCAACAACTTCCTTTACACAGTCCTTACGGGTGGCTAGTGTCCCAGGACCACCCAAAGGCTTCTAACATATTTAGGGAGGGGTGAGAGGGAGGCCAGGGAGGAGGAAAACCTGAAGTCTCTGGCTCCTTGTTTGAGGCTGGGAATGTTAGGACAGCAATGAATGGCTCTCTGGGGCCATAAATGCCAAGCTGAGAATAGGTCCAGAGGCTAGCCTCCCTCGACCCTTGCCCTGCGACACTGAATTTCACCCCCACTGTTCTGCCCTGCGGTAACTGAGAACTTGGGGTTGCGACCTAACTCCTCCCAACCTGGCCCAGGAATCTAACGCCTGGGCTCCTTAGATTTTCCTTTACGGTAGGAACCGGACAGCAAAAGCCCAGTCAGTAAACTGTATATCTGAGACTGGTCACTTGGCGGAGCTTCCAAGCCCCCAAATAGACCCTTTAAAGATCTGCCAAATTCGCCTCGGTAGGCCTCGGGGATTGAGTTTTGTGTGACCACCTGGCTGGTGAGGAGACCTGGCCGACTATAGCCTTTTCCTTGTTGGATCCTACAGCAGTTTCCCTTCCTCTCCCCGCCCGGGAGCTCCATTCACTTGTTAGTGAAACGCGCTTGGCACTCAGGGCCCTTGGTATGGCCGGGCATGTGCTTCCCTGGCCGGCATGCTGGCCCTCCCCCCACCCGCAAGCACAATACAACCTTAGTTTCTGCCACATGGGGTCACCTCCCCGCCCCTGCCCCCTTCCCAGGGGAAAGAGGTAACAAACACGTGGTAAGCCAGAAGGGTTCCCGGAAGGGAGTGGGAGGTGCTGATAATCCACTCTGCCTCTCACTCTCGTCCTGTAGGAGTTAACCAGGAATCAGATCTGGGGTACCATCGCAAAGATGGGAACGCACAATGGGGGCCCTTGATCGCCCTCAACCCAACAGCGGAGCGTGTTCGCTCACCCTTGAATATTCGCACCAACATCCCCTTCCGCGCTGAAGTTACCAGAATCGGTCTCACCTGGTGCACAAAGACATCCACCGGTGGGTCGAGCGCGACCCCGGCGCGGGCGGTCATGGACAGGAAACCGAACCCCATGCGCACGTTGAACCACTTACAGATGCCGGCACCGTGCAGCAACTGCGGCTCCTCTCCCGACGGGGCCGCGTCCGCCGGCGCCTCCTCCGGCGCCTTGGCGCAGCCACCTGGAGATTGAGAGAGCGCTCAGCTCGCGGGCCACGGAATTGGAGGGCCCTCCCAGAGGCCCGGCAGGAAGACCCGGGCTAGCCCCCCATGGACACCCAGGAGGCTGCAGCCAGTATAAAAGACCTGTCCCGGCTGCCTCCCGCGCTCCCCAACCTTACGCGGAGGCCAGTGGCGAGTGCCCCTGAAAGTTTTGCTCCTTTCCCCACAACACGTTGCCCTGGGATCGACCACCGGACAGGCCCTTCCTCTTCTCCCCCCTGCCCCGGTAGCCTCTGTGTGCACGCCACTGGGACACCAGCGTTCTTTGCTCCACAGATGACCCCCTGAAGCAGGAGACCGCACAGACTTGGGTTCTTCTGGCCAGCCTGGGGAACACTTTCCCACCTCCCTTTTAAGTGGCTTCTGGGAGCCCCTGAAGCCCAGAGTGTCCCCAGGAAGTCCCGAGCTCGAACCTGCAAACTGCTGGTTTGACACGGAGCCCATGGTAGTCAGCTAAGCCCGTGGCCCCGGGCCCCAGGTCCGGCGGCTGTTGGCCCCAGAGAAGTCCGGAGGCAAAGGGGTGGCTCAGAGAAGAGGCAGCTACATCTTCCCCAGCACAATAGCGGTGGGAGGGCCCACGGCTTTTCAAAGGCTCCCAAATTCTAATAGACAATGACCCAACCCCCCGCGGGCAGCCCCCTCCCCTCTCCTCCCTCTCCTTTCCCCTCCCTTTTCCTTCGGCTCCAGCTCCTGCCCTCCCCCACACTGCGTTCTCTGACACCTCTGGGGTGTCCCTTCTCAGAACCCTGAGGTTTGACACCTCCTCTCCATACACACATCTGGAAAGAGGGGCCGTCAGCCCTAAAAGTCTTGAGTACCCCAGGATTTGGAATCCTTCACTTTAATGACTCGTTGGGGGTCCCAAAGCAACATACAGGTGGGGGGACTCTGTGTGCGTGTGAGGGGTAGTTTCAAAACCACGTGACTTCTCCCCCACACACTCACACAGCACCCCCGCCCCCCGCGCAGATAATTATACATTCCAGAGAGTTGGGGGAGGGAGGTGTGAGCCTGGCGGCGCTGGCCAATCAGAGACACAAACCACCTGTCAAGGGAGAAATGGATGAGCCCTCCCCCTCCCCCAGCACTTTAGCGCCCCTCCCCCCCTTCCCCTTCAGGCCTCCGAGCTGACCCGGCTGCTCGGCGCTGACCCGCTCTCACCCCCCACCCCGTGTGCTTAGATAGACCTGGAGTTCAGGATACTGGGAAGCCGAGATGGGGGGAGCGCGGGGGGAGGCCGGACACCCGGCAGGACTGATCTCAAGTCCACACCAGGCCACTGCCTCCCCACGTCTGTTGGTCTCCTCAGTTTCCCTGCCTCCCTGAGTTACCGACTGAGTTTCTTCGGATCTCTCAAAGCGCTCCTAACTGATTGTGTAAAGAATCCTTCCCTTTTGCCTTCCAAATCTGCCTAAAATTGACCCCACGTGGAGCTTTCTGGGAAACCAGGAGGAACCCAAAACTTGAAGTGTGTTCCTGCCCCTGGCAGCGGCCTCCTCTCGCCCCAGCCCCACGCCGGCCCTGCGCGACGCTGGGAGAGGGGATGGGTGGGTGCGTGGGTCCAGGCACTGCCTCCAGTGCTCTGGGCACTGGTAGCCTCCTCGTTTCGGGGTCTACCCTGAAGCGTCCCCCTCTGCCCACAGAGGGGCTGGTAGGAGAACCAGAGTTGGGGATCTCCCCCTTGTAAGAGTCAGCTCCCCTTCTAGGAGATAAAGAGGGTTGGCCAGGGGGGTGGCCTAGTGCCCTGGTCGGAGATGGACAATGGCCCGGGGCTCAGTGCACGGCCCTGGCCCTGCCCCTTCACTTCCGGTGCTCAGTTCAAACTGGACAATGCCAGCTCCGGCCAGTTCCCCTCCCCCACTGCTACAACCCATTTAAAGGGACAGAGCCTGCTTTCGGAGGCTTCCGCTTGCTCTGAATTCAATTTTCTCCACCAAGCGCTTTTCACCCTGCGCCAGTGTGCTCGCACGTGCCTGTGTATTTGAGAAAGAGAAAGGGGATGCGTGGCGGTAGGGAAGGGGAAGGTGGTGAGGAGAGCAAGGGAGTGTGGAGAGATTATTTCTCTTTCCTACATGGAGGGCTGTCCAAGAGACTAAAACTTGAGTGTAAGGGGTGAGGGAGAGGACTTTTGGTGATAAAAAGGACAATGATGGACCTTTGCTACTCAGCCTAACAAATACAGACCATTAACAAATAGCATTAGCAATTCCCCGCTCCCAGCTGAGGACCCTAATTTAGATCTTGCAAGAGTTCTGAGAATATCAGCCAAATCAGTTTTTATTTATATACTGCTCCCCACCTCAGAGTCTTTTCTCCTTCGGTTACTAGCGCCCTTAAAAATATATTTACTCCCTTCATCTCTGTTCTTAAGATTCAGAAATGACTGAGTTCAGGTGAATGAGGTCTGGCTGAAGAAAAGAGAGAAGGGAGTTTAGCGTTCCGGCTTCGCTCGGTGCGCTCTGAATTGAGATTTGTTCTCCCAGCAGTCCCGACCACGTTCTCTGTCCAGGGTCCTGAGAGTTCCGGGAGCTCTGTCCACGGTGCTGAATTAAGCCTCGCTCTGCTCTCCCGGCTCCCAGCTTTGAGAGTGCCTTCTTGAGTCTCTACCTCCAAATCCTTCCCAGAAAACCTGACTCTTCTCATATCCCCAGTGACCCTGATAGACTTGAAACAAATTAAGTGATTCGCTTGAACACTAAAGAGGACACTTCCATCAATACATGACTCTGCAAGAGCGGTACAGGTATCTCATGCTCCCTTCCACAGAAATGGGTGTAACTGCACATGACCATGAGGGTGAAAAAAGAGGAGTTAATATTTTCTGATTCAAAGTAAACCACAGCACAAAATTTAAAAAACACTAAAAACAAACAAACAAAAAGTAAACCTGAGCAGAAGAGAGACTAATTTCTGTTTTCAAATTTTTCCCCTAATTATTAGCACTTTTCATAGGGGCACAGGCATTAAAGTCACCTTGCCCATGTTTGGCTATTAGCTCTATTACTTATGGCTCTGTGACCTGGGGCAACTTCTTTTTTTTATTTTATTTTAATCATTGTTCAAGTACAATTTTCTCCCCTTTACTCCCATTCCAGCCCACCCACCCAACCCTCCCCATGGGGCAACTTCTTTAACTTCTACATGCCTCCGTTTCCTCCTCTATCCAATGGGGATAATGAAAATATTTTACTCTCAGGATTATTATGAGGATAAAGATAGATCATGTAGGTAAAGCTTTTTAAATAGTGCCTGACATATAGTTACATTTTAATAATGTAAATTATTACTGTTATTATAGCTATTGTACACATATTTGTCTCTGTAACCTAGGACCTGCTGGCTCATTTGCTCCCTGAGGACTGGGACCATGCACATGTTATTTCTTTCTGCATCTTCTCCCACATCATAACCAGTACATAGTGCCTAGCCGACAGAAGGCACCCAAGGAGTGTTTCCTGAATAGGCTTTAACTGAAACATTAAACATTATTTTACAGTAGTCATAATGCTTATTTTTATAGGCTGCTTTCTTAAGTCTGAACACTGCAAGCCCAGAATGGGGTCAGGATCCCATCAAGTTGCATATGTAGAGCCCTGGCCAGGTGGCTCAGTTGCTTGGAGCACCCTCCCATTCACTGAAAGGTTACAGGTTCCATCTCCTGTCAGGGCACATACCAGAGTTGTGGGTTTGATTCCCAGTCATGGCACGTACAGGAAGCAACCAATCAATATTTCTCTCTCACATCAATGCTTCTCAATCTCTCTCTCTCTTTCTCTGTCACTCTTTGTCTCCCTCTCTTTCTCATTCTGTAAAATCAATAAACATATCCTCAGGTGAGGATTTTTTTTAATGGTTGCATATGTAAAGGCAGAGGATTCTTTAGGAAGGAGACATGATTCCCAACATAATTGATTCTTCATCCCCAGTGGAGTCCTTCCATGTGGGAGATGGGAACTCCTGTCCAAACCATCTTCCTTTCTTGGGTCCCTGTCTCAGTGAATAGTGCTGAGTTGTTAGGTACCCTCTGTAACCCAGTCATTGTGCTAGCTCACAAGTTTGGTGGGGAAATCAGGTAAACAAAATGCACTAAGCCCTGGCTGGTGTGGCTTAGTGGGTTGGGTGTCACCCTGTAAACCTAAAGGTCACTGGTACAATTCCCAGTTAGGGCACATTCCTGGGTTGAGGGCCAGATCCCTGGTTGGAGGCATGTGAGAGGCAACCGATGGATGTTTTTCTCTCATCACATCAATGTCTCTCTCCTTCTCTTTCTCCCATGCTTCCATTCTCTCCAAAAATAAAGTAAATCATTTAAAAAGTAATATGCATGAAGTGAAATAATGTCAAAATGTACCCCCACCACAAAAGTAAAGAAGAAATATTCTCCCGCTTCTAAGAAGTTACTGTATAGTTAGGAAGACAAGATGTGGTGTAGTTAAATATTGCAAGTTTCTTATGCATGGGTTTCTAAAAGTAATAATATCTAGGTAAAAGGGAAAAGGGGGAACTCTTTTTTCTTAACTTTTAAAAAAAAATTTTATTTATTTATTTTTAGAGAAAGAAGGGAGGGAGATAGAGAGAGAGAGAAACATCAATGTGTGGTTGCTGGGGGTTATGGCCTGCAATCCAGGAATGTACCCTGGCTGGGAATCGAACCTGCGACACTTCAGTTCGCAGCCCACGCTCAATCCACTGAGCTACACCAGCCAGGGCAGGGGGAACTCTTTAGACAAGACAAAGGTGTTTAGTATCAACACAAAGAATATTGGCCTTTAAATCACTTGGCCAGTCATGGCCCAACAGCTCAGTTGTTAGAGCATCATCCTGATATGCCAGTGTTTCTGGTTAGATTTGCAGTCAGGACACATACAAGAATCAACCAATGAATGTCAATAAGTGAAACAACAAATCTCTCTCTCAAATCAATCAGTAAAATTTTTTAAAAAGTACTTGCCAAGTTCCTCTTGTGTAGGTTTATGTTTTCATAAAAGAAAGAGCTGTAAGAGGTGCTAGTAATAATAATTACTTATTCAACATTTAAAAAATATTTATTGAACACTTTCTCTGTGGAAGACACTGTTATAAATGTTGAGAATACATCAATAAACAATACAAGCAAAAATCTTATATTTGTGAAGTTTATGTCCTGATAGGTAATAATAATAATAGCTATTATTTGTTGAGAATACAGGTACTTTTCTTATCTCATTCAAGGCTGTCAATAATTCTGAGTAACAGGTATTGATATTCCCACCTTACAGTAGAGGAATCTGAAGCTTAATGAATCAATCTAGCTTGCCAGGTATAGCTTAGCTAATATGTGACTGAGGCAGATTTGAACCCACATGTCGTACTCACATTGTTTTCATAGTTTGGGTATGTTGTTATTATGACTGGTGCTGACCTTGTTTTACCAATAAGGAATAAGATATGTTCAAGCAAAGAGA